CTTGCGTTTCATGGAGAGCTCGAGCTCCCAATGCACCTCACCACGAGGGTAACTTTTTCCCACTTCCTCTTCACCTCCCGGAGCACGAAGTCTCTCTGAGGGAACTCCTGACAATCTGGCAACAAGGTGGAGAAGTGAAAATCCTCACTCACCCGCCTTTGATTGCATTGCAGCTTTTGAGGTTTGTTGGGGAAGGGGGGGGTTTTCGGAGGCTCGAGAACCCAGTTGGTTTTGAGGATCCTTGTGTGCTTGAGGGATTGGATGGGGAACTTCTTCGTTACTACCCCAAGGCCGTGGTCTCGCATTTAGGCAACTCCCCGACCTCTGGACATTATCGTACATTACTTCTCCCCTCCAAGCTTATTACTGATGATGGGGTAGGTGCTGTTTGCGCCAAGCCTGCAGATGTAGCCTGGTCTAAGTGCTACTCGTACCTGGTTTTGCTAACCCTCCATGTCTGAGCCTTCTCGCAGCTTTTGGCTCCAAGATGGGTAAAGGAAAAGGGAAGAACAAGCCAGGGAAGGGGCAGAATGCCCCTTTCGAGGACCCGGTAACGGAACAGCGGTACCAGGCCCTCTTGCAGCATCGTTTTAGTGAGGGCAAACCTGCTATTTCGAGATCAAGGTACTCCAGGCAAAGCCAGCATTCAGGTACCGACCGGGAACCTCCGGCTTCTGGTCCCAACTTGTCAAGGTCGGTGGAGGCCCCTATCACGAGGCCAAAAGCCGCACCCAAGCCGGGGGTAGCCCGAACCCCACCACCACCACCGCCAAAGCGGCAACGCACAGAGGCCCAGGCTGAGGAGGCCTCGCCAAGAGCCTCCGGTTCCAATCTGCAGGCTGAGGTGCCCTCGTCTTCCAATGCTGATGAACCATGCCTAGCCTCCACAACCCAGGTTGAGCAGGTCTCGCCTGAACCAACCTCTCCTTTGGGGCCTGAGCAGGATGAGGTGCTGACCTCTCCTAAGCAGGAACCTGCCCAGAGTTCTCAGACTGAGGTTCCTTCACCGGCAACCAAGCCGGATACAGATGCTGGTGATCCAGGCCCGGCCGCCACAACCCAGGTTGAGAAGGTCTCGCCTGAACCGGCCTCTCCCTTGGAGCCTGAGCAGGAAGAGGTACTGACCTCTCCTAAGCAGGAGCCTGCCCAAAGCTCCCAGGTTGAGGTTACCTCACCGGCACCCAAGCCGGATACAGAATGCCCGGCTTCCAAAACACAGGTTGAGAAGATCTCACCTGAGCCAGCCTCTTCTTTGGTGCCTGAGCAGGTTGAGGAACCCTCACCTCACCCAGATCCTGTCCCTAGTGCCCAGGTTGAGGCAAACTCACCGGCCACCACCAAGTTTTCGGAGGAAGCTCCATCCCCAGCGCAGTCCCATTCAGGCCCAGATCCGGGAATCAAGGGCGAGGACATCAGAGGGGAACCAGGTCCGGAGGTTCCCTTGGAGCTTCTTTTCAAGCAGCCCCTGAAGATCCCGAGATCCCTCCGAGGCGTGTCCCTAAACAAAAAAGGCACGTCTGGCACGCCTTGGACTACTTACACTCCGGCGGAGCTGGAGGACGAGCTTGGAGGGGTATGGGCCGTGTTGGGGGTAGGTGGCAGTCGTGTCACCTTGGAGCCCCCGGCTCAATGGGGACTTGGAGCCGAAGTTCAGGTCCTCAAGCTGGGGCTCGCCGAGGCCATGGACCAGGAGCAGATTTTTCTGGAGGGACTTTCCAGAGATTTCACCTTTATTCCTCGACCGGGGTCTTCTGGTGAAGTCCTGCTCACCTTGTCAGAGAATGGCCATGGGCGGGGGTTTTCTCTCCGTGCCCGCGCGGTTTTCTACAGGCGGGTCATCCCTGTGGCTTCTCCGCAGGGAAGGCTTAGGACACTTGATGTCCCGGACCTCCTGGCCTTGTTAAGTGTGGTCGCGTTTTTGTGTGCCTGCCATATCCGCTTGTCGGATCTTGGGGAGCACAACGTAGGTTGGGCCCTCCCGACCTTGGCGCGCACACGCGCCGAGAACATGGCGCTCCAAAGTGCAAAGCTGCGCTCGGCAGACTACGTGCAGGTTTGTTTGTACGACGGGGGCCGCTGGAGAGAAGCGCAGCACAAGCACTGGCCTGGAAAGGCGGCAACGAAGGGGCTCCTTGGCCTATGTGCCAAACATGAAATGTTTGGGCCATGGGTGGAAGAACAAATCCATCTCTATGGCTCCCCCGAGGTTTTGGCCAAGGTCTTCCTCCACCGCCTCCAGGACTACCCGCACCACTTCGAGGGCTTAAAGGACTCGGGGTTCTTAACCTACCTCCCCTTGTGCTACAAGGTTGGTATGGTCATCCCCCTGAGCAACCCTTGGAGCAATCCGGATGATACAACCTGGCAGCTCGTTCCGATCCCGAGTTTGGACACCCCAACAAGTTGAAAACCCCCTTGAAGGGTCTTAAGGTGAGGTGACTCCCTTAAGCTTGCAAGCCGCTCCAGGGTGAGGAGACTCCCCTTTCCAGGTTTAATTCAACGAGCCAATTTGGTCACAAGCCTAAGTCTGCTCAAGGTGAGGTTACTCCCTTGCTCTACAAGTCAACAACGTGAGGAGACTCCGTGGACTTGGAGAAGCTACAAGGTTGAGACACCTCCCTTGCACCCCTTTTGTTGCCGCCTAGCTCAAAGTGAGGAGACTCCTTGGAAGGTAGGCTGAGGGCAACCGCAGTAGGCAGGTGAGCTCGACCAGTCTGTGCCGAGGGTGCTGTTTAAGGACATCACCTGATGTCAGACTGGTCTAGAGTAACTCGCCGCTCCCAAAGTGGACTAGGCTCAAAACTCAGGGTGAGGTGACTCCCCTCAAACTTCGTCTCACCCTGACTCGAACTGGGCTCAGCCCAGCGGACCGACCGCTCGAGCGTGATTTTCAATCCTATAATGGTGCCCCCTGTGTCTCGCCAAGGTCAGGAACACTTTCCGTTTTTCTCCTTTGTGAGTTTTAGAGAACCTTAGGTGTAGCTGTGAACGGTAGGAGTAGGGAAAAGTTGTCTGTCTGTCGGTCGCTGCGCTCACGCTTCCTGTCTCACCTTGGGGTGAAAGTGATCAGTGTCAGAAGCGTGTCCAACCGGAGTTTTCCTCACAAGTTTTCACGAAGAACGGTGTTTCCCTGAAGCATGATGAACATCAGAGTGTTTTCAGTTTGTTTGCTGTGAGAGCGGACTTCTAGACGAAGTCCGGGGAACACCTGGGCCGTGTAGCAGAGTTGCCAGTGCAGAGAAGCCGTTAGGAGTCCTTAGGACTTACCTCGGAAGTGAGTGTGCTGAAGTCTCTGTCCGCGCCCCGTTTCACTTGGCTCAAGACTTGCACTGCGTGACAAGCGCGTGGTGAACAGTTGGTTGCGAAGAAAGGTGTAAAAGTGCTGTTAGCTTTCACTGCTGTAGCCTTGCGTGACGTAGTCAGTCAGTCGGCTTGCACCTCCTTTTACTAAACCTAGAAGTGTGCCTCAAGGCGCGTTTGGGTTTTAACGGAACCTCTGGGAACTGGGCAAAGGGGAGCAAGTCCACGACAATTGGCAGCTCCTGGAAGCCATAAATCGAGCTGATGGTGTCGCTGCTCTTCTCGATCGGGGTGCGTCTCGTCCCTTCTGAGCGAATGCTCAGACGGCCGGCTGACCAAAAGGCCCACCAAACTGCGCCCTGCCCTGGGTTCGTGTGAGCAAACAATCACCGGCAAATTACAGCACAGAGCCATGAAATCGAAGGTCTCCGCAATCGTCGCAAAGAATGATCGTCCGGTTGCAGCGGGAAACCTTGATGCATAAAGTGCCAAGAGGCCGGGAATTCAGAGTAATCGGGTGCATCCACGAAGCTTGGACTTGCAAGCAAGTATCCCTCGTGCATTGGAGGTGTATGTGTTCCAGCCCCGAGATGGCATGTTGAAGGAATGCCACAGCCAGAGAAATGGGCCGGCGCACGTCCGTGCCCACGCCGCTGACTACGTGGCGTGTGTGGAACAGCGTAACGGCTAGGCGCTGCCAACTACCACCTGAGATCATTTTACCCCTTCAACTGGCTTGCAACGTATGTCGCCGCCTGAGCTCCGATGCACCCATTGTTTTTTCAAAAAAAAAGGGTTTTGGGTAAGCTGAGTCCGGTTGTCCGAACCAGACTACACAGGCCGTCAGAAGACATCTCACCCCAAGTGGAAAGTTTTGGTAGCCTTGTCGGCCATGACGTCCCAACCGCGATGAAGCGCGATCTGCTCCACCACGCTGGTAACTTGCTAAACCACACTCTCACCGTCTCGTAGCCGCCTCCTCTACCAGCTGTAGTGCAGCTCGATCACAACTAAATTGGAGCGCATGTCCACCGCTGCCATGAGAACCACATCGACGTCACTCGAATCGAAGTGAGCTGAAACTCGGAGTCAGCCGCCAAATCGAAGTGATAGAGGTCGCCATAGCGAACGTTAATGTGCTGATCAAGGCGTTTACACCAAGAGCAAGGCAGAAGCCGCCATCTGGGAAGCAGAGCGGATCTCCAGACGCGAAAATGAAGGTACTGCACTTGGTCCCAGTGAAAACCACAAGAAAGCAGTAAAGCAAAAAAAAAGTGAGATGAGCTCAATCTGCACAAAGTGAAACACAAGGTTGTTTCAGCATTAATTAAGTGCACGAGAGCACCACCGCTCTGTTTTCCGCCTCGTAAATTCTGGGTTGCGCAATGGACAACATGAAAACCAGTCCATAGGAACCTGGGTTCAACCCTTCTGAAGAGACGAAGTCAGGTTTATGTGTGCAGACATATGTCTGTGTGTGATGTCATGCCAGTGTGTGATGTGATGCCAGTGTGTGTAATGACAATATGACAGTGATGAGAGGCGAAGTCAAGACGATCGGGAGGAGCGGGAGGAGGAGGAGAAGGAGAAGAAGGAGGAGGAGGAGGCGGGACAGCCCCAAAAAGTAAGAACCCCACACAGTGATGTGGATATTGCAAAGGAAGTACAATCATCTTCCTTCTACTCTTGCGAAGAAGCAGATGGTCGCGGACAACGTGCCCGAGGCACATTCCAACGACTCGTGTTTTGGATGGTTCACGCCACGGATACTTAAAAAACAGGTGAAGTTCTGTGTGGAACTGGTGGGAATGTTGAAAGACTTTTTGAACAATCCGCCAGCACCGGTTTCTGTATTCGAATGCATGAACGCTACAGTCTCCGAAGATGAAGTTCGCTTTGCCTTCTTTGAGGCATCCAACATGCAGGCCGCCGCGGAGTACATGGCAGGAAGTGAGAGAATTATTTTGTTTACCGACTGCACCTACCAGACAAACCATCAAAGATTGGTTCTTGGAAGTTTGGGACTTGCAGTACTTCACAAAGATGACCATGGAAAGGTGAGGTGTCGGTTTTGGCCTGTGGTGTTCAGTGTCTCTGAAGATGAAGATGAGAGTGCTTATGATCTCTTGTGCAAGGCTTTCATTGACAAGACGGGTGTGAATCCGGCAAAGGTGAGCAACATCTTTCTCGACGGCCATGCGGGTGCGCTTGCAGCTATGCAGCGCTGCTTCCCAGGTGCATGCATCCATCGGGATCTGCAACACGTGAAGAAGAACATCAAGGACAATGCCTGCAAACTGCAAGACCGCAACTTGAAAACTTACATCACTGTGGTCGAGTTTTCAGCGAAGCTTTCGCAACCCAGTGAATTTCATACCGTCTGGAAAGACACCCTGGGTCGGCTTCCGCAACGAGTGGGGCGAGGAGTGTGGTTCGAAGGATAGATAGATCCAAGAACCATCAGGTAACTCCTTAAGGCCACGTGTTGGTTTGACATAAGCCGGTTAGGGGACCCAAACGCTCAGGAGTCCATGGCCGCTATACTTGGAGGAGAACATCCTAGACAAGTCTTCCAGACGATGGTACGGAGCACGGTGGCAGTCAGGCTTGGGTTCCATCTGCATTGGTTATACCACATACACCTCCAACAGTCAAGAGAAGATGTGGCGGACATTGAAGGGAATTTTGCCCAAAGATGGATCGAACTTGGATTTGGGCGATCTAGTTCATAACGCAGCCCAACTTCTTCTGACTTGGACGAGGGCCGGTCAATTCGCGAATGTGTTCTTCCGACTTGAGATGCCTCTACCTGTTCACTTGCACAACAAGGGCTCGCAGCTTATGTCAGAGCCAGACGTAGACCCGTCCGGCATCCAGCACAGACGGCTGAGTGCCACCCAGATGCGAGACTGGTTGGAAGAGCGTGGTGCACAGCACACATACTTGAAGGAGGACCTGGACGGTGCCCGTGTGCTAATTGATGGGCGCACCAAAGCTGTAGAAGCAGTGTATGTGCTTCCCAAATACTAGATGAAACTCGCTCTGGAAAAGCCAGAAGAGTTGCAGAGTCGCTTGGACTTGTTTATGTCGTGTTTGCACGAAGACTCCGAGCTCATGATGCGAGAAAGCTTGGGGAACGTGCACACTTGGAGCTTTAAGCGTCGCAAATATTTGTTCTACCACTATGTGCTGGTGTGCTGCTTGGCCCATGGCCAAATCTTGGACGAGCATCCGCACTTTACTCATGACACGGCGTCTGAGCACGTTGCTTTTGTAAAAAGCCTTGTGTCCAATTTTGATTTGGCACCGATCGCACGTGCGCCTAAGGCGCACAAGCGCGGTCGAGACAAAAAGACCAAGCAATCCGATGGCTTCCGTGAGAAGGTGCGGACTCCATCCCCTGAGGTGCGCACACTGTCCTAACTGCATCTGCAGGGCGCTTCCAAGCAGTTTGGGAACTCTTCGGAAGATGCCAAGGCAGTTGGTGCAGAATCTCGAAAACATGCTTTGCTTTTGGGGGGATGCCTGTCATTGAAATCGTGCAAAAACACTTTTGCTGGCTGGAAGTTTTGGAGAGTCGTCAATGCGGCATGCGGCCGTCTATTGCAAGAAGTAGACATGCAATTTGGATCTTTTGCATATGGTTGTGGTATGTTTTTTTTTTTTCATAAGTTGGTGAAACAATCTCTTGACAACGCTTTGCTTCTGTGAGACGCCTGTCGCTCAATCGCAGAAATACTCTTCAGGCTAGAACCGGCTAGAATTTCTGGAAAATCGTCAATGCGTCTTTTGTAAACATAACATGCATGTTTAATTGTTGTTCGCATGTAGCTGTGACATTTTGTAATATTTTGGCATGCTTGCTTGAAATGAATAGTCAAAGCGCGCTTGAAATTTGGAATTTGCACCCACAGTCATCAAATCTCTCGAGTTATGTCTAGCTTGCTTGCCGTTTCACCCCTGCAGCTCATGTTAAAGATTCCCAGTGAAAGCCGCAGGCGTGATTTCTTGTTTTGACTGGTCGTAAATTTGTTGTTTCACCCTGTGCAGGTCAAAGGAAGCTTTTTGGCTTGCACTCCTTTGTTTCACCGGACAGAGCGCAGCTTGGTGTTGTCTTGAGGCCGCTTGAAGCAAAGTGAAAGCAGCAGACGCGGTTTTTAGAGGCCTGGGCCCGCAGTGAGAGTAGCAGCCATCCATTTTGGAGTTTTGGACTGCAATGAAAGCATCAGACATATGGTTTTAGAGGCCTGGGCCCGCAGTGAAAGCCGCAGACATCGATCTTGGAGTTTTGGACTCACAAGGAAAGCAGCAGGCATCAATCCGGGAGTAAAGCCTCAACCACAAAAACCATATACAGTGGATATTTAGGTTGGTTTGGAAGATTTTGGAAGCAAATCCCTAGCATGGAACGTTAAAGTTTGCAGGCAAGCACAAACATGCAAGTCTGAAGCTGCTTCTACGCCGGTAAACCCTAAACCTTGACCCTAAACCTTAAACTCTAAACCTATAAAGCCTAAATCCTAAACCTTAAACCCTAATACCCCAAAGTGGAAGGGTTTAGGAGAAGGCGGAACGCTTGCTTGCACACGCCAAGCAGTGCCCCAGTTAGCCGTGCGGGGAACGCTTGCCTGCACACGCCAAGCAGTGCCACAGTTAGCCGTGCAGGGAACGCTTGCTTGCACACGCCAAGCAGTGCCACATTTAGCCGTGCAGGGAACGCTTGCCTGCGCACGCCAAGCGCCGCAAGCGCTCATTCTTCGTGGTGTGGGTGCAGGTGTGGGTGTGGGTGTGGGTGTGGGTGTGGGTGTGGGTGTGGGTGTGGGTGTGTGCGTGTGGATGCGGGCGTGGGTGTGGGTGTCGGTGGTGTGGGTTCTGGTAGTTGAGTCTCGCAGCGACTACCCATTCCTTACCATCGATGGTAAGAGCGTTGAGCAGCACTCCAATGGCCGAGGAGGGCAGTGCCTCCAATTGCGCCTCAATGTTTCTGTCCCGGCCGGGGAAATCTGTCCCATGCAATACGCAGTTGCGCAGCGCATGGTCGATGCCTTCCTTCAACCACGGTCGTGTGCTCATACCAACCCAAACTGGAGTTGACTCTTGCATGTTCGTTCACCCGGGCACTTGCTCTGGCGCCTTTCGCCCAATGTCCAATGGATGCGGTGGCCTGGGCTTGGACGCCACTTCTTCCCTCCAGATTCTGCCAGCTGGGCTGATGCGCAATGCGCTGAGCCGTCTCCGAAATCGTGCAACGTCGACGGGCTGGCAACTCCAGAAAGTCTTGGTCTTTTAGCTGCGCGGGCCCATATAAGACGCCCTCTGTATTTCCCTCTGCGGTTCTTTCGCTTGAGCGCAGTTCATGCACGCGAACTTGGAGAGCCTTGACCAGGGCTCTGGATTCTCGACGGAGCAGATGATGGGGCCTTATCCTGCTTACGAGATTTGGCGAAGGGAGCGAGGGTGGCGTGGGCCCAGAGCTTGCGGACATCTTCGTCACGCCACAACTGATACCGGAATTTCATGCCGCACCAAAGGCACGCTCTCAGTTCAATGTTAACCAGCTCCGCGGGTTTTATCGAAAAAACAAGTTCCGTTTCCTCTATTCAATTCCCTAGCCGAGGATGCATTCATTGACCCCGATTTCGCTTTTCGACGGGAGCTGGGGGAGTATCCGAAAAGCGGTCTGCCGCCATTTCGTGTGCCCGCTGAAGCCGCCCGGCAGTTTCAATGAGCTGCCACCAGCTCCGTGTGACCGGCTGGCTCACTGTGCAGCCATGCGCACCTCTGGCGTTCGCCTGCGGCTTTGGACGCTCGTTGGACTCTGCCGGCCGGCAAGTGTGGTGGACGTCATATTGATGTCTGCCTCCTTGGTGGCAACGGGCCCCAACCGTTGCCGGACCCTGTGCACCTATTCAATCCGCTTCCCGTATAGTCTGGTTGGACTTATATTGGGCTTGTCGACTTTCGCGTGCGCGATCTCGCTAAATAACAGGACTCGAGGGCTGTCCGTTGTCTGACGGGACCAGAACGGCTGCCGGTGCTTTTCTTGGGCACCACTCGCTGTCTTGGGCGGCTTGGGACGACGGTCCTCTGTCGCTTTAGCTTGAGGTCGCTGAGAGCGAGGCCCCTTTTTTCTACGCTGAACGGCTTATGCTGACAAAGTCCGCACGCCGCAGCTGGTACGTTGCCTTCTCTCCATGTTTCATCGCTGTTTTCGTGTGTTGTTTGCGAGTTTGCACGTAGTTTAGATGTTTCTTGGGACCGAGCGCTGCAGCCGCAGCCACCGAGGCCCGCCGACTCCAAAAAAAAAATGGTGTGGGTTCGGGTTGGTGTGGGGGTGGGTGTGTGGGTGTGGGTGCACAAGGCTACGTTAGAGTCAGAGATGCGCGGAGCCTTGCGCGGCAGTGTCAAGGGATGCTGCCGCGCACGGCGCCGCGCCCTTCGGCTTTTTTTAAGTTTCATTAATTTGCTACCGCGCACCGCGCCGCGCCCGGCCAAAAAATCGCAACAGCAGCATTCGGCCTGCTTGCCGTGCTGTAGGAAATGCCCACCTCCTCCGATGATGTTCTGGGGAAGCGCGGCAAATATCCTGCGTCGATATCTTTCTGTCTTCCATAACTTTGGGGTTTTCAAGGTTGGTGTGGAAACATCTGGTTAGTGGAGCGGGGGTAAAATGTACTTCTAGATATTTGACCGTCTGAGACCTACTTGTCAGATCGGCAAAGGTGAGCATGTCGGATCAAGCAGAACCCTGTGGCGGAGTTTAAGGAGACGTTCTCGTATTTGTCGTACTTCAGGTATAGGCCCCACGGACGCCTTCCTTTTGTATGAAGGAACAAGGTCAAGCCGGGAACCCGAAAACCCATGGCGAAAAGAAGACTGCCAGCATGGAAGTCCGCACGTTTTTTTCTGACGTCCCACCGCCCGATTCGAACCCAAGCTCCGACCGTCCCGGGCGCACCGCGCGCGCACCCGATATCGCGCTTCCCGCAAGCTCCGGCCGTCCCGCGCGCACCGCCCGCGCACCCGATATCGCGCTTCTCCCAAGCTCCGGCCGTCCCGCGCGCACCGCCCGCGCACCCGATATCGTGCTTCCCCCAAGCTCCGGCCGTCCCGTGCGCACCGCCCGCACACCCGATGTGGCGCTTCCCCGAAGCTCCGGCCGTCCCGCGCGCACCGCCCGCGCGCCCGATATCGCGCTTCTCCTAAGCTCAGGCCGTCCCGCGCGCACCGCGCGCGCACCCGATATCGCGCTTTTCCCAAGCTCCGACCGTCCGGGGCGCACCGCGCCCGCACCCGATATCGCGCTTCCGCAAGCTCCGGCCGTCCCGCGCGCACCCGATATCGCGCGTCTCCCAAGCTCCGGCCGTCCCGCGCGCGCGCGCGCGCGCACCCGATATCGCGCTTCCCCCGGGCGCACCGCGCGCGCGCACCCGATATCGCGCTTCCCGCAAGCTCCGGCCGTCCCGCGCGCACCGCCCGCGCACCCAATATCGCGCTTCCCACCCCCAAGTTGCCCCCGTCCCGCGCGCGCCGCAAAGTCTTGCCCTCCCCCACACACCGTCCGCGCCTTGTCCCCGCCCTCCCGGCCCTCCACCGCGTACCGTCCGCGCACCCGATCCGCGCACCCGACATCAAGGCCCGCGCGCCGCTTAGTCTTCTAAAGCTCTTCCGTCAAAACAGGGCCCGATATTGCGCACTTCGCGTTGGAGCACTAAACGAGAACCCAACCCCAGAGGGGTTTTCGGGAAAAAAATTGGTGCTTAACAGAGGAAGTTGGAAGTAGCACGGTATCTGCATGTTCTAGTCCCGCAAGGAGGTACCAAGACGAACGACTCCAGATATGATTCCATGTTCTGACATATATTGTTTACAATATCTTCAAAGAAGTGCGTAAGGACAAAGCCAAATTGCAGAATTTTTCGGTTTAAATCTTCATCATATTACCACAAGGTTATCAGTCCCTCTGCCGTTCCATGTTAAATCTTCATCATATTACCACAAGGTTATCAGTCCCTCTGCCGTTCCATGTT